AGTTCTTTGAGGAAGACAACATGCTGAGCATGGGCAAGAAGATGATGCAGGAGGCCATGAGTGCATTTCCCGGCATCGATGAGGCCATGAGACATGCCAAGGTCATGAGGCTGGTGAAGGGCATGAATTTCTCCGTGGTGGTGTTTGACACGGCACCCACGGGCCACACACCGAGGCTGCTCAACTTCCCCACCATCGTGGAGCGGGGCCTGGGCCGGCTTATGCAGATCAAGAACCAGATCAGCCCATTCATCTCACAGATGTGCAACACGCTGGGCCTGGGGGACGTGAATGCAGACCAGCTGGCCTCCAAGCTGGAGGAGACGCTGCCTGTCATCCGCTCCGTTAGCGAACAGTTCAAGGACCCTGAGCAGACAACTTTCATCTGTGTATGCATTGCTGAGTTCCTGTCCCTATATGAGACAGAGAGGCTGATCCAGGAGCTGGCCAAGTGCAAGATCGACACACACAACATCATTGTCAACCAGCTCGTCTTTCCTGACCCTGAGAAGCCCTGCAAGATGTGTGAGGCCCGCCACAAGATCCAAGCCAAGTGTCTGGACCAGATGGAGGACCTGTATGATGACTTCCACATCGTGAAGCTGCCACTGTTACCCCATGAGGTGAGGGGGGCAGACAAGGTCAACACCTTCTCAGCCCTCCTCCTGGAGCCCTACAAGCCCCCCAGTGCCCACTAGCACTGCTGCCAGCCCCAACCGCTGCCATTTCACACTCACCCTCCACCCTCCCCACCCCCTCAGGGCAGAGTTTGCACAAAGTCCCCCCCTTAGTACAGGGGGAGCCACTTGGGCAGGAGGCAGGGAGGGGTCCATTCCCCCTGGTGGGGCTAGTGGGGGATTGTAGTTGCCCCCTACCCCCCCTACCTCTTGCTCTTAAATAAATGATCTAACTCCTCTAAAAAAAAAAAAAAAAAAATACAAGGTGAAGTAGCAAGTGCTGGTGGAGAAGCTGCAGCAAGTTAGCCAGAAGATTAGCTAAGACAATTAATGAAGGTAGTCACGCTAAAATCCACACATTTTCAGTGTAGACAGAATGGACGCCATCTAGGACTTTCACAGCTGGAGAAGTAAGAGAAGTAATTGCCCAGCTTTGAGGCTTTAAAGGGCAGGCTGACTGTCTTGTTAGGAGCTAATGCAGCTGATGACTTTGGGTTGAAACCAATACTCGTTGGCCATTCCAAAAATCCTGGGGCCTTTAAGAATTATGTTAAATCTACTCTGCCTGTGCACTATAAATGGAACGGCAAAGCCTGGATGACAAGGCATTGTTTAGAGCAAGGTTTACTAATTTTTTTTTTTTTTTTTGAGAAAGAGTCTTGCTCCGTCATCCAGGCTGGAGTGCAGTGGTATGACCTTGGCTCACTGCAATCTCTGCCTCCTGGGTTCAAGTGATTCTCCTGCCTCACCATCCCTAGTAGCTGGGACCACAGGCACTCGCCACCACACTTGGCTAATTTTTTTGTTTTGTTTTGTATTTTTAGTAGAGATGGGGTTTCGCCATGTTGGCCAGCCTAGTCTTGAACTCCTAACCTCTGGTAAACTGCCCACCTTAGCCTCCCAATGTGCTGGGATTACAGGCATGAGTCACCATGTCTGGCTGGTTTACTGAATATTTTAAGCCCACTGTTGAGAAATACTGCTAAGTTCCTTTCAAAAATATTACTGCTCATTAACAATGCACCTAGTTACCCAAGAGCGCTGATGGAGAGATACACCAGGAGATTAATGTTGTTTTCATGCCCTGTTAACCCAATATCCATTCCATAGCCCATAGATCAAGGAGTCATTTTAACTTTCCTGTCTTGTTGTTTAAGAAATACATTTTGTGAGGCTATAGCAACTATACATAGTGATTCTTCTAATGGATCTAGAAAAAGTACATTGAAAACCTTCTGGAAAAGATTGATCATTCTAGCTGTCATGAAGCACATTTGTGTTTCATGGCAGGAGGTCAAAATATCAATATTAAACATGAGTTTGGAAGAAGCTGATTTCAACCCTCACGGAGGTCCTTGAGGGGATGACTTCAGGGGAGGAAGTCACGGCAGATGTGGTGGAAATAGCAAGATAATCATAATTAGAAATTACAGCCTAAAGATATGACTGAATTGCTGTAATCTTATGATAAAACCTTAATGAATGAGGAGTTACTTCTTATGGATGAGCAAAGAAAGTAATTTCCTGAAATGGAATCTACTTCTGGTGAAGATGCTGTGAACACTGTTGAAATGACAACAAAGACTTAGAACAATCCATACACTTAGTTGATAAAGCAGCTGCAGGGCTTAAGAGGAGTGACTCCAATTTTGAAAGAAGTTATACTGTGGTTAACATGCTATCAAACAGCACCACATGCTACAGAGAAATCTTTCTTAATAGAGTCAATTGGGCCAGGCAAGGTGGCTCATGCCTGTATTCCCAGCATTTTGGGAGGCCAAGGCAGGCGGATCACTTGAGATTAGGAGTTTGAGGCCACCTTGGCCAACATGGTGAAACCCCTTCTCTACTAAAAATACAAAAATTACCTGGGTGTGGTGGCGGGCATCTGCAATCCCAGCCACTCTGGAGGCTGAGGCAGGAGAATCAACCTGGGAGGCGGAGGCACAGTGAGCAGAGATTATGCCACCGCACTTCAGCCTGGTGACAGAGCAAAACTCTGTCTCAAGAAACAAACAAACAAAAATGAGTCAATCAATAAAGCAAACTTCCTTGTTGTCTTATTTTAAGAAATAACCACATGCCAGGTGCAGTGACTCATGCCTGTAATCCTGGCACTTTGGGAGGCTAAGGATTGCTTGAGCCCAGGAGGTGAAGACAAGCCTGGGCAACATAGCAAGATCCTGTCTCTACAAATAATTTTTAAAAACCATCCAGGTGTGGTGGCACGTGTCTGGGGTCCCAGCTACTTGAGAGTCTGCAGTGAGCTGTGATCGTGCCACTGCACTCCAGCCCAGGTGACAGAGTAAGACCGTAAGACCCTATTTCAAGGAAAAAAAAAAAAAAAAACCCACTGCCACTCCAACCTTCAGGAACCACCAGCCTGACCGGCCATCTGCTATCAACACAGAGACAAGGCCCCCTACCAGCAATAAGATCATGACTCGCTGAAGGCTCAGATGATCACTTGCATCTTTAACAATAGTATTTTTTAATTAAGATGTGTATATTGTTTTTTAGACATAACGTTATTGCACACTTAATAGACTAAAAGATAAGGTAAACATAACTTCTACTGCACTGGGAAACCAAAAATGTGTGTGACTTGCTTTGTCACAATATTCATTTTGCTACAGTGGGCTAAAAGTGAACCCGCAACATCTCGGAGGGATGCTGGGATGCTGAACTTACTACGTGGGCCACTTCTCATAACTCTGTTCGTTCAGATGAGGTGGAGCACTGAGTCTGGATTCTGATTATTCCTGATCATGTCACCTTGGTCACGTTATTCCCTGTGTTTGCTTCCTCAACCACAAGCAAAATAGATCAAACCTCACAGAGCTGCAGAAAAATCAAATGAAAACATTAACGTAAAGCACTTTGCATGATGTCTGGCACATAGTAACTCTCAGCAACAGTGAGCTCCTTCCCAGATGATCTGACAGAGCCAGAAGCCACTCAGTTCAAAGCACTATTTATGGGACACAACCTCTGCCCCTCAGAATCTGTGAAAGCAAAAAAGGATTATACATAAGCAGAGACCTAATGATTCTTAATGTCCTGTTTGTCCAACTCCATCCACAACAGTGGGTCTCCCAACTCCTCAGCGAGTCATCATATTTTCTAATGTCCTCAGCAAATAGCACAACCTTGTTCCATCACAAGCTTCCCCATCTTAACATGCTGCCACACCTCTGATTGCCTTTCCTAATCTAAAGGTTCTACCTCCCTGTCCTGTCCTTCCCAGCAATTCCCCTTCTTATACACCCCTGCAGTTATGTATGCCAGAAAAACTAGCCCAATCAATGTTCTCTTGCAATTCATTTAGGTGAGAAATGAGAGAGTGAGTAGGCAGAGTGTGTATGCACATGCACGTGTGTGTGCATGTGTGTGTGTGTGTGTGTAATAGATACCAGATATGTCCCTCAGGGCAAGTCTCCTGACCTCTCGGAGCCTTAGTTTCCTGATCTAGAAAATGAGACCATTCACTTCCACACTGAAGTGTGGTTGTGAGGATGGAATGAAAACACACATAACAGGTAAGTTAGCACAATGCCTGGCATTGACACTACTGAAGAGAAACACATTCGTGGTAAATAACAAGGAGCTTGCTGCAACTTTCTTAGGAGAAGATTTGCAGTTCTATTGGGCAGGATAACTCCTTATTAGTTAAAATTAAATCTACATACCTCCTTGAGAATTTCCTCTCTGAGTGTTTTCATTGAGAGGTGGTCTTGGCTAGGGCTGGCAGGATTTGTGCAATTTACACATACTTGTGAAATTCAAGCACATTATCTCTTGCTGACAGACCATAATGACTGTAATAAACATGGAAACCTCTGTTCTAATAAACAAGTAATTACAGTTGACAATAAATGTGTAAACATGATTCTAATTAGCAAATCCTCTCATAGCTGTTTCCAGTTTGGGGACACGTGTACACATGCCCAGGAATATGGATAAGATGGGCACTCTATGTTCTCATCCACAGGTATATAAAGATGTGGGCAATAGGTACCACCTTCTTTGTCAAATCTTTTTTTTTCTTCCAATAAAAAGTATTATCTTTTTCACTCCAGAAAAAGAGGTCATTTTAGCAACTTGGTTTCCTATGTAATCCCTTTAAACTCAGGTTTTCTAGTAACCTTGGGGGACTGTGATTTATTACACAAAGTGCCTTTAGATCCATGAACACTGGCCTCATTACCTGGGTTCTTTCCAAACTTAGATACAAAGACTCGGCCTATAGATCCTTGGGACTTGAGAACAGTAGGTGATGGAGGGCTGAAAGGAGGACGTGGTGAAGATTAATAAACACTGTTAAACCAGCAAAAATTGCCTTTATTGAACCAAAAAAAAGAGATAAACCACACAGGGAGAAAATGACCCGAATGGAGGCTCTGTCCTGCTTTCCGGCAAAAGGGCTGTTGCTTGAAGCTTCTCTTCTAAAGCAGACAGAATTTCCACTTCCACTTCCCTAGAGATGGGCTGCAAGTTATTTTCAGTGAGAAGCAGCCACAATTAACCCCCTGGCCAAGAGCAAAAATCCCGGATGCCCTATGTGTAAACATTTTTCTAAAGATTCTTCTCTTTTTATTTCAATTTTTTAAACTGATATGGGGAGCAAAGGAAAGACAAGCATGATTGTTTGCTAATCCCTTTTCTAACCTTTTTCTCCCTTCAGTAATAGTCCTCATGAGTATGACTTTCTTTTCTTTGTCCCCTTTCACTCATCCTTCTAAGGCCACAGCTTCCAAGAAATTTCCATGGATTAAGAGACAGGGAGAAGCAGTATTTTCTAGTGGTTAAAGACACTGACTTTTGATTTAGAAAACCTTGGTTTTGATCTCAGCTCCTTCACTGTTTCAGTCAGGATAGGTTAGGTTATGCTGCGGTAATGAACAGCACCAAATTTTCAGTTTCTAAACACAATAAAAGCTTATTTTGCCTTTATACCAAGTCAGCGCAGGTCCAAGTGACTCCATATGGCAACTGCCTCCATGCAGTGGGTCAGCAATCCACCTATCTTTAATCTTTTGGCAACTCCATTTCAACACATGCTTCCATGACTGCTGGAGCAGAGGAATAAAGTGTTAAAGCCCCACATGGCAGATCTTGACATGTGTCAGCCTAGAAGTACCTTATCACTCAAAGTCACACCACATTGGAAAAACTCATCATAAGGCCCTACCTAACTGTCAAGAAAGATGGGAAATCAAGTTTTCCATGTATCTAGGAAGAGAAAGAGAATTGAAAATATTGGTGATCACTGGTATTAGCTACCATAGCCACTTAACCAGCTGTTTGATCCTGGGGAAGTTACTTCTCTGAGCCTCAGTTCCCTGATCTATAAAATGTGAGAAACAAGAGTATCTAACATGTAAGTTGTTGTGAAGATTAAATGAAGTAAAGTATCTTAAGTGCTTACCACAGTGTCTAGCACACAATGTGTTCAAGAAATGGGAGGCAACTTCCTCAAATGAAGCATAGTTAGCATACTTCTTACTTGCTTAGAAAATGGAGAGGAGAGGTTGGCAGAGATTGAAAAGAGAGAGAGAGAGAATAGACCTCAAATCCATCATTTTTAAACTACTAGGCTTCCTGAAAAGGCAGGGTCCTAAAAACAGGGATGAATAGAGGTTCTTTAGGCTCACAGAGCATTGGGTGTGATCAAAGCACGTGGTACCTGGGCACAGCAGTCTGGCATGAGAGGTTCTTGTGCCTTCCACCTGCCTGCTGGTCAGGATCTTTTTTTTTTTTTTTGAGACGGAGTTTCACTCTTGTTACCCAGGCTGGAGTGCAATGGTGCAATCTCGGCTCACCGCAACCTCCGCCTCCTGGGTTCAGGCAATTCTCCTGCCTCAACCTCCCAAGTAGCTGGGATTATAGGCACGCGCCACCATGCCCAGCTGATTTTTTGTATTTTTAGTAGAGACGGGGTTTCACCATGTTGACCAGGATGGTCTCGATCTCTTGACCTCGTGATCCACCCGCCTCGGCCTCCCAAAGTGCTGGGATTACAGGCGTGAGCCACCGTGCCTGGCTGGTCAGGATCTTTATAAGAACCAGACAACACACTCAGAGACTTTCTTTCTTTTTTTTTTTTTTAAACAGAGTCTCACTGTGTTGCCCAGACTAGAGTGCAGTGGAGATCTCGGCTCACTGCAACCTCTGCTTCCCAGATTCAAGTGATTCCCCTGCCTCAGCCTACCGAGTAGCTGGGATTATGGGCGTGAGCCACTGCCTGCTGGTAATTTTTGTATTTTTAGTAGAGATGGGGTTTCACCATGTAGGCCAGGCTGGTCACAAATTCCTGACCTAAAGTGATCTGCTCTCCTTGGCCTCCCAAAGTGCTGGGATTACAGGTGTGAGTCACCATGCCGAGCCACACCCTCGGAGACTTTCTAATGAAGGTACTATTTACAGATGTATAGGTAGAATGAAGAAAGACAATACTTACTCACCCAGGAAGGTTCCATCAGGAATGTAATGTCACCTTTAGACCTAAAGGAGCAAAGGGAGAAAGTGCTGTTATGGGGAACCACCCAACAGAAGCGCTAGTCAAAGTGGGATGTAGTGACTGCCAGAACTGTGACAAGTAAGGGAGGAAACAGGAGGAACACACAGCCCAATCTCTTGTTCCTCCTCCCTTTCATTCCCTGATAACACCACCCATTGGCCAGACCCAACTGAAAGCCCCAGGACAAGGAAGCTGGGTTTCTGGGCCATAGAGATGGCCTCCATGCCAGAGGAGTCATCTGGGGTTGGAGACAAACAGTATACCTGTGCTCCAGCTCCCTCTCTCTCTGCTCTCTTCTTATCTGCTGCTTCCTCCTCTCCTTCTTCCTTCTCTGTTCCTTCCACTTTCACTTTGTAGGCTGACTAAGCATCTCCTCAGGTGAAAACTGCTTCCTGGATGGTGATAATTAAAGTCAGTACTTCTACCTACCGTGCAGAATGAGCAATTCATGGAGCCAGCCCAGAGAGTTTCCTGGGCAGTCCCATTAGCCAGCTGCTGCTGCTGTTGCTGCTGCTATCCAAATCCAAGCACATGCACAATTCTTGCCCAGTTTCTCGGTAAGAGGAGTGGGGTAGTGGACATCTGGAGTTTTGTTCGTTTGTTTTTTGGTGCTCAGCATATATATCTTGATGACATTCTTGCTTCTCTGTAGGGTATCATTGGGAAGACTTTCCTTCCCAAGTCTCAGCTCACGTGTTTCAGGTGAAGTTTACTTGAGCCTGGCTCAGAGGTGGAACATGTGACCTAGGCTTAATCCAATCATTGCATCCCATTTTTGGGTACACGGAAATTGTTCCAGGGGTAGATATGTGATGCAGTCAGAACCAATAAAATGTGGTGAAATTTTGCTAGAAATGCTGTAACAAAGACTTTTTTTCGAGCAGACATTGCAGAAAGCATCATGGCGGGCTGACTTTCCACCAGCCATTCCACCCTAGGTGGTCGTCTAAGCCGGGGTTCTCAATATCACACTATTGACACTTTGGACAAGGGAATTTTTTGTTGTAGAAGGATTGTCTTGTGAACTCTGGGATGTTTAGCAGCATATCTGTCATCTACCCACTAGATTGCAGGAGCACCCCACCCTCCATAGTGACAACCCAAAATGACTCGAGATTTTGTCAAATGGCCCCAATGGGGCAACAGCTCCCCTGATTGAGAACCACTAGTCTAAGCTAACCATGAACATTTTATCCTACTTATCAGTGGTTGGGTGAGGAATGGGCGTGGGATCTAATTCTGTCCCATAGGATATAAGAAGCCTTCTAGGAGATTCTGGGAAACATTTTCTTTTTCTGACAAAAGAGCAGAAGGAAGAGTTAATTTCACTTCTTTTTCTGCACATTGAAGTGTCTGAATATGACACTTAAAAATTTAACAGCCATTGTGTTACACGAAGGAAGCCATCCTGAGAGAAGAATTGACACTGAAAATGAAGGGCGGGGAAAAACTTGGCATCTCAGCGACGTTGTTAAGGCACTTAATCAACCATTCTGGATCTCACCATATCTTTGTATTTCTTGTGTGCAGAGAAAAATGTCTTCATCGTCTAAGCTAATTTAGGTCAGATTTTCTGTTGTTTGCAGCTCAAATTATCCTAACTGATATAGACTTCAATAAGGACACGTGTAGCCCTGGGAGTTACTGGAAGTTCTCTTCTAATCGCAAAGAAAGTCCCTGTCTAAGACCTTAGGATGCAGAGTTGAGGAGAGGAGAGGGAAGAAGTGAATCTTAATGACAAATGGTTTAGATTTATGAGACAAAACATTTTCTTTGCTTGGATTTGGTTCATTAGGGTTGGGGTTTCTGTTGCTTGCAACAAAGTTATTTTTACTGATACAGATGGAGTAGGAATAGAGTTCCCAGTATCTGAAAGTCACCCCAGTGCAGACAACACATATTAAGTATTTTCAAATTAATCTGAACCCAGCAAATAAATCTAATCTCTATCAGCAAATAAAGTAGAATGAAGCACTACCAAGTCTCCTCCCACCCTGTACCTTTCCCAAATATAACAAAATACTTCTGCTTAAAATATTAATAAAATTAAGGAAAGTATGAGCTCAAGTCTGGACACTTGTCACAATTTCAAATGCCATTGAATCATTGGAAGTATTGCCTGGATGCTTCCTACAGATATTTGGTCATGAGAATCATATTAAATCCATAAAAAGGAAGAGTTAAAAGGAAATAGATACCTCCTATCCAGACTTCTCATTTTACAGATGAGGAAATGGAGACCCAGAGAGGGAAGTAATCACCAAGGTCATGCAGTTACTGAGTGGCAGAGCCAGGACCGGAAGCCACAACGCCTCACTATTCCACCCAGGCCCATTTTCCCTCACCTCCTCCCTGATATTGGGTCCCATTTGCTGAAATGGTCCATGCAGAGATTGAGGATTTGGCATGAAGTGCTACAAGAACTTGGCCTGAAGTTCACTATTTCTGCACCCCAATCTCAGTCCATGGCACCTGTGAGAGCACATGCTTTCAAATCTTCCTTGTCTGGGCTCAGTGGCTCACACCTGTAATCCCATCACTTTGGAAGGCAGAGGCGGACAGATCACTTGAGGCCAGGAGTTTGAGACCAGCCTCGGCAACATGGCGAAGCCCCATTCTAGTAAAAATACAAAAATTACACTTGGTGTGGTGGTGCATACCTGTGGTCCCAGCGACACAGGAGGCTGGGACACGAGAACTGCTTGAGCCCGGGAGGTGGAGGCTGCAGTGAGCCGGGAGCTGAGATTGTGCCCTTGCACTCCAGCCTGGGCGACAGAACGAGACTCTAACTCAAAATAAATTAATTAATTAAAATAAAATAAAGTAAAATCTTCTTCTTGGAGCAGCTGTGTCAGCAGCCCTGGGAGGCCCGGGGATGGGTGGAACCACCACCCTTCTCTGGGACAGATGGCCAGTCTAGCAAGGTTGGTCCGGCAGTCTGCTGTCTTTCAAGCTGGGTGGAGCCAGCTGGATGCTGGGGTCAGCAGGGAGGAGAAGGATGGAACATCCAGGGATGGCAGGGTGGGAGAATGGGCCCTACCAGTGTCAGGAGGCATAGACTCTTGTGACACCAAAAATTCCATCCAAATTTAAAGCTGACAACACAGGTGGAGTAGGCGGGCCTCTGTGATTTGATGGTTCTCAGAGGCTCTGCCTGCCTAAAAATATCTCTACCCACCTGCCTGGGACACCCTCCCTTCTTATCAAGCCTGAAATTCCTACCATTAGAGCTGCTAAGGTTTTAGATGACAAAGAACAGGGTATGTTTCCCAGCAGGTCACCATTAAAGCCGGCTTCCTGGGAGTGGAAGGGAGGCCCTTGGGTCTGCTCCTTTTAGCACAAAGAGCTAATACAGCCGGAAGCTCAGAGAAGGCAGGACTGGCCTACTTTACAATTTTGCCTCCTATTGAGATGCCAGTCACTTAATTCATTCATGCTCATATGACCAGGGCCCTGAAGAAATTAGGCAGCAGGCTGTAAAGAAAATAAGGCAATAGGCTCACAAGTAAAGCATCGTATTCTGCAACTCCTTTGCAGTTCCATTTAAGTTTTGCAATTTCTCCTCATGGGAATCTGGGTTCAAGATGGAGAACTTGTTTATGTGCTTGGGGCAGCCAGGCATTAGGGTGCACCCCAAACCCTGCAGGATCCCCCCAGTGATTGTTGTTCTCCCTAAGTTCTTCCCCACTTCTCATCACCACTCCCTCCCTGGCCAATCCCACGAAAAAAATTAAAAATCCAAGTGTGGGCTGGTGCACTGGCTCACTCCTTTAATCTCAGCACTTTGGGAGGCCAGGTGGGTGGATCACTTGAGCCCAGAAGTTCCAGACAGGCGTGGACAACATGGTGAAGCCCTGTCTCTACAAAAAAATACAAAAATTAGCAGGGCATGGTGAAGCATGCTTGTAGTCCCAGCTACTCAGGAGGCTGAGGTGGGAGGATGTCTTGGGCCCAGGAGGTGGAGGCTGCAGTGAGCTGAGATCATACTGCTGCACTCCAGCCTGGGCAACAGAGTAAGACCCCTTCTCAAATAAAAAATAAACAATCTAAGTGTGTCAGATCATGGCGTGCTATTGAGAAGTAGAGGGATGAAAGGGTGGGAGGCAGGGTGAGCAGCAGGTGAGAGTCACAGCCCTGTTGATTAGTTTTGCCCATTTCATTCTGACAGGCGTGAGCCTCGGCTCTGCTGTCACAGGCTGGGGCAAGGGAGAGGGACTGACAGGACAGGTCAAAGGAGACCACGGTGGACAGAAAGAGCCTGGTGGGGGCAGAATGATGAATGATCTTGGGCTTGGGAAGCTGATGATGGCCAGAGGAGGGAGGGATAGTGTTGATCCATGCTAGGGGTCGTGCTGTGAATTTATAAGCTCTGATGTGGAGAGGAAGCTGTCTGACTATTTAAGAAGATACTTGGTGTAGGCCTTATTCGTTGGAATTAGGGTGGGTACCTTGATTTAGGTCACATCATGCATCAATAAGGTGCACATGAATAAGACTAGCCAAGTGAAGAAATTGATTAATGTCAGGCCATTCTGTGGTTGTCTTATCTGGGCCAGACACACCCTGGTGGAGGGATGGGGAGGGCTTGTCCTTGAAGCTAATGGATACTTTCATTGTCCATCATCCTGCCAAGGATTTGATTTGATGCTGGCTATAAGGATATAAAGAGAAGAGACTTAGAAGAAAAGTATTCATTTTCCCAGAGCAGGGTATCTATCTGGTGTCCCAAGAAAGGAGTGGGATATTCCCAGTGAGTACATTTTGGGTCAAGGTTGCCCTTTGCCAAATGTAGGCAGGCTAGGAGCCAAGCAAGGAAGCAGATCTTTGGGAAGAACCTGATACGAGGCAAGAGTTTTGGTAATTTTCAGTTTTTATATTTCCTTCCACTAATCTCAGACTTAGAGAAAATTCTCTTTAAGATTTACAACCTGGTCTCAGTGATGCTGTAGGAGCTGAGGGAAGAGTCTGGTACCCACTTGGGGCCAAACAGCAGAGCAGTGGGCAGTTCCCCTCCCTTGA